GGAAACCCCCCTCTTGGGGGGCGGGAGCCAGCCTGCTCTGCTCGCCCGGCCGTCCGCTTCTATTTAACGCCTGGCTTGCTCACCTCCACTCAGCCTTTTAACAGGGGGTATCGATAAATCCGCATCCTGCGGCAGCCGGCACTTCGTCACAACCGGCCTCGTCGTTAAACGACAAAACGAGGGCTGGGAAATCAAACTTTGAGCTTTGGGCTCATCCGATATCGGGGCTTTTCTCTCGCCGCCGGCAAGAATATCCAAAGGGACGATCCGGAGTCTCAGCAGAAGCGAAGCAAAGGCTGTTCAAGGCTCTACCCCTGCTCTTGTTTTATTCAATTCATGATCCCACGTGGAGCGGGGCCGGCAGAGATTCCAAGAAGAGAAAAATCGGGTGAATTAGGGAAGGTTATTGGCATCGCCTGGTGCGTCAGTGGGGATAAAAGCTTTCGCAAAGTGCATTTACAATTTCATGCTCTCGCTTAAATCCCCCTTCTCCATTTTCCAGGCATTTGCAGATCAACGGTCCGTGGGAATCCGGGTGTCGGAGCTGATGCATCGAGCGACTTCTCCCCATTGCTCATCATCCACCGAAAACCAGCACAAATCCAGGCAGGAAAATCCGCTTGCACCCAAGTCCAACACCATTGGGCTCTGCCCGGCCAGGAAACTGGAATAAAGATGTCGGTGGCTACTTGTCCTGTGAATAAAGAGGAAAAACAAATAAATAGATATAAATTTTCTTTCTCCAACCGCACGGAAATACAAAGAGTAATTATATAATTACAAAGAGTAATTATATAATTACTGTCATTAAATAATCATCCTCACCCGATTGCCCTGGGCTTCAGGTGTTTTATCTTCTCCGCTTGTGAAAAAAAGGTCAATTTTGGCCACACTGTGTGTTTTTTTTCAAAAGCCAATAACCCCACTGCTCGGCTCCTGCAGTTTCACAAGCTCTGTTTCTGACAAGATTTTAAAAAAATAAATTAAAAAAAAAACCAACGAACAAAACACCACGTTCAAAAAGTGGGGTTTTTTCCGGCCCATGCTGGGGATTGCTTCTCGTTTAGTTCAAAAATAAAGCCTGGGAACAGTCAGAAGAGGGAGACAGAGCCCAGCATTCGCACCCCAGCACTCACACACCTTGGGCATCCAAGCAAACGACTTTCCCAAATATCTTTTATTACAAAAAAGTGTCGTTAATAAGCATTTCCTTCGCCGAGCGGCGCTGCAGGTGCATCCCTCTTTAGAAAAACCAGGCGTTCTTTTCCTCTTTGCCTTTTGCTTTTGAGATCATCCCTCTCGTCCCGGGATTTGGGCACATTCGGAGAGAAAACGGGTCCCTGAGCCCCTCTCCCCGTTCTCCTCGTTGGATTTAGAGCTTCTTGCCATCGCTGCGTTATTGCTGAGCCCACACCAGGGCAGCCTGGTGAGCTCTGGAGAGGGTTTCACTGGTTTTTGGTTGGTTTTTTTGGATAAAAACACAGTTGCGTTTCTGCAGTTCATTTGCCTAATGTTTGGGGTTTTTTTTGAGCTCGTTTCCCAGCGCGGCTCAACTTACCGATCCGGGGTCAGGTGTAACACACGTCGGTTATTTAATTTCTATATCCCAAGGGATGCGGGAAGGAATTGCCACCTTGATCCTCAACTCGTGCTAAAAAAAGAAGGATTATAAAAGGCAATTCCTTACCTGGTCGTTAGATGTCGGTCTCCAAGCGAAGGGAGATACCACCATGCCCAGGGGCAGCTGCAAGAAAGTGGTTTTAAAAATTGCTGCCCTCTCCTTTTCCTCACCCAGGGATAAAAAATGAACAGGTAGTTCCTAGGGTAGTGCTGGAAACCTCCAGAAATCGGGGTTTTCCCCTCATGCAAGCCTTGCCCAAACATCCATCCCACCTCAGGAGGTGGGAGTTGTGCCTCCCCGGGGGACGCAATACCTGGAAAAGTCCTGTGGGAAAGCTCCGCAGAGCGAGCTGCTCCATTTTTTTTCCTTGAGCTACGTCTTTCTGGGGTGTGGACACACCTGGGGATCTCCCATAAAGCTGTTATTTTTCAGGAGATCAGGCTAAACAGCGTAAAGAACCGCAACTACGACGGTGCCGCCTCCCCGCACCCCGACGGCGCAGCTGGCGCAGAGCGAGCAGAAGCGACTTCGCAAAATGCAACCGATGTGGCATTTATTGTGTAAAAAAACCCCAAAAAACAAAAACCAACAACCCTTGAGACCCACGAAGACGTACAAACACTTCAAAAACGCCAAGGTAGCAAAAAGGGCACAGTGGTTTTTTACAGCCTTCCAGTGTCACCTCTTGGCTTCCCCCAAAGTCTCTCCGGAACCTGAGAAGATAAATCGCGGCTTTTCCCCGCTCAACGTCCGCCTCGGTCCTTCTCACACTTTGCTCTGGCAGGT